AGACCACATGTGAAGTGCAGCTTTTAGTCAAGTGGCTGAGGAAGAGGAAAGCCAGCCCAGTGATCTGGGTTAGAAGCAGGAGTGGCAAGGAAGTGCCACGGAAGTGCCACTGTGCTAACCCAGCTGGGAAAAAATCCCTTTTCAAAGCTGTGACCATTGCAGACTTCACCCCAAACTCCTGACTCTTCCAGCTCTGTACCGGTTTCTCCTCTCACTCCTGGACTCCAGAGTACATACAGTGAGGGTTGATGTGTTCTCTATTTGGTTGTTGGTTGTATTTTGGTTTATATCAGCCCCATGAAAAAAGTCCCTCACTCTGAACCAGTCAAGAGCTGATGCCAGCCAACATCTACTGAAAAATCAAGATCAACTCAGCACCTTACATAAAAACAACAACCCTGTCTTCACAACAGGAGAGAAACTGGGTGGAAAATAACTTAGAAGATGTCAGCACTGATCTGATTTTCTGTCGGGATGCAGGAAAGTTTGGGGGGGGAAAGGGCATTTCAAGCTCCCAGAAAACCAAGAGGAATTGTCTGGATGTTTAGAGGCACTTTCTTCAGAGCCCAGAGCATTAACCCTGGAGTGGCACATGCAGTTTATAAAGCAGTATTCACTGTGCTCAACAGAGCGTTCCCAAAGTCCACCAGGCAGGCACGAGCGCCTGCCAGGCACAGGCTGTGGACTGAATTTGGATCCCAAGTGCCATGCAAAGGCATTTCCTCCACCTTCCTCCACCTTTCCAAGGAGAACAGAGCTGAAGGCAGTCACACCGTGCTGGCTTCCTATCTATCCCTTCCCTAAACTGCCCTGAGGAATGTCACATATGTGCTGCCTGTGCCCAAGGTGTCAGAGGGCTGCACTAAGCAAAGGAAGTTATTAAAAGAAAACCCAACCATCAGGTCTAGGGATTAATGAAGAGCCCTTAGCATGCTGGGATGTCTCCATTTCCAATTAGAGGGAGAAGGACAAGCATTCCCCCTCTACAGACCCCTCTGAGCAGCCAGGGAGGAGCAGTGAACATGAAAGGATGAGCCAAAACTGCAGGAGACACATGATACCCCCAAAGCAGCTCCAAGCAGGGAGAGTGGGGGAGAGCCCACATGCCATTTTACTGCAGGCAGAACCTCTTCCAGCAGCTCCTGCAGCCCAGGTCTGGCTGTCAAAGCAAATACCATCCCAGGGTGGAGTTTCACACTGTGCCTGGACTGCCAGAACAGCAATCAGGCAGGTGAGCACAGGACGTTTCACAACGACATCCACTCCGACAGCAAATCACTCTGCCTCACTGCTCCCTCAGCAGTGCTGCAACTGCTCACAGGCTCCTGCTGCCTGGCAGGTGATGACCAACACAAAAATAGAATCACAGAATTATTAAGGTTAGAAAAGGCCTCTGAGATCACATCCAGTCCAACCTATGACTTGACACCACTATGTCAACGAGACCAGAGCATTAAGTGCCACCACGTCTAGTCTTGCCTTAAACACCTCCAGGGATGGTGACTCCACCACCTCCCTGGGCAGCACATTCCAGTGTCTGATCATCTTTTCTGTGAAGAGATTCTTCCTAATGTCCAACCTGAACTTCCCCTGCTGCAGCTTAAGACTATGACAAGACTATTAATACTAAAGCTCTTGAGTTTGTTGGTTTCTAATCAGTTCCATGCCTAAAACCTTGCAGGCAGGAGTGGGGGGACAGCCACACCACAGACCCCTTCAGAGCACAGTCCAAACCATTTCCACGAACCTTTTGTTCTGTGTAGAGCAAAACTCAACACACATGAACATCCCAAGACCATTCCAGGCCACTGGGATATGTTCTGTCCAGTTGTGCTGCTCCAGGAGAGCATGTCCTGCCCTTCCCCACCACTCTTCCTTTTCCCATCTCTCATTACCACACGACATTTAATGCCTGTGTCGTGATGCAATGATGACTTACACTGACTGCTAATGAGGGGTGGATCTGCAGCTGTGGGTGAGATTTACTGAGCTGGATTCAAATAACCTCATTGTTCAGGGATTGTTCACCTTAGACACTGTTCACACTCCCTCCAGAAGGACCTTCCCTTCCATTCACAGCCCATTTCCACCTCAAATCTCCATGAAATTGTGCAGGGAGGACATTTCTTCACTCTGAAGGCAACTTAGCAAGGTGCAGTCCCTGTGCCTCATCCTGCTCTGCTCTACAGGGTAACAGGAGGGTCCTTAAGCTGCTTTGCAATGCCAGGGGGAAACCTCTCCTTATCCAAGTCATGCCTTGGGAACACAGGAAGGAACCACAGCAGTGCTGGGGGAAAGAAACAGGGCAACAAAAGGGGAATCAGCCTTTGAAGGAAGGGTAAGAAGCATCAGGAAAGTTGATGCCCTCATCCAGCCCAGCCCTTGCTCAGCACCAAGGCTGTTCACCTGCATGGCAAGTCTGTGTCCAAGAGACCAGCCTCACCTTCCCCGTGGTGCCAGGCTGGAAAACCTGTTTGAAATACATGGAAAAGGTTAAATGAGGTCATGCAAGCCTGCGTGAAACCAGCAGTGTCCTCATTAGAAGGTCAAGAGCTTCCCAATAAGCAGGTCCCTAAGGTGCCCCAATGCCAAAGCACCACCTTGTTTAGCCCTTCTGGAGGTGGTAGTAGTAGTAGTACACACTGAAAAAGCAACCCCAAAGCAGGGAGAGCCCCACAGAGCCCACCCGGACACTAGCACACTGTGCTTCATCTCCCAGCAGAGCCCTGGTTGAGAAAAATCTGGAATAAAACATTTGCTGCAACTTCAGGACATTGTCCCAGGCAAGTGTGGGTGCTGCTCCTGCAGGAGATGGCCTGGAGCACCCAGAGCCCAGGATCCAGCTGGTCTGGGGATGGAGTGATGCCCCAGATGCTTCCCAACCAGAGCCTCCTGCCATCTCAGATTCTCTCTCCCAAACACTTAAGCTATCCTGATCCCATTCCATCAAAACAAGCAGGTGAGTTTGAGCTGTTTAAACAGCAGATTTGTGTTAACTCAAAATGTTTAGACTGAAATAGCCTAGGGAAACGTCACAAGATTGGCACAGCCTGGACACACAAGCAGGCAGGAAGCTCCAGCAGTGCCAAGCAGCTCAGGATGCAATTCCCCATCGCTATGCTTGGCCACCTGGTCCTTCCAGCCCTCCCCTGCAGACACATTTATACTCAAGACCTGCAGTTAAATTCCAGGTGGAAAAAAAGCTCTTCTCCCACTGTACCTTGTGGTGTTGAGCTACCCCAGTCATGGTTGCTCTCCCAGGAGCTGGAGACTCACAGTTGGCCATCAGTGAGGGCCTGTGGTGTGGATGTGTCACCTCCCAAAGCTCCTGTCAGGCTTGGGGCTGTCATTCCCATTAAACAGGGGGAAGCTTTCACTTCCACCACTGCTCTCAGTGGGTCAAACCAGCACAGCCAGGACCACACATGGTCACACCATGGCCATGCACACAGGACAGCACAGTAGGAAGCAGGGGTTGGTCTCTTCTCCCAGGCAACCAGCAGGAGGACAAGAGGGCACAGACTCAAGCTCTGCCAGGGGAGGTTTAGGTTAGATATTAGGAAGAGATTTTTTAGGGAGAGAGTGCTCAGGCATTGGAATGTGCTGCCCAGGGAGATGGTGGATTCACCATCTCTGGAGGTTTTCAAGGTGATACTGGATGGGGCACTTAGTGCCATGGTCTAGTAACCATGGTAGGGCTGGACTTGATGATCTTCGAGGTCTTTTCCAACCTGATTGATTCTATGATTCCGTGATTCTCCAGCTGACACTCAGGAATTCCCACCTCTAAATGCAAAGGTTTAATGGCCACACCATGGTCCAGGGAGGAAAAGCCACCATGTGAGCAAAGAGAGTTAATCCCCATCCTCAGGAATCAAGGCCCAAAACACCCTTTGGTAGAGCAAAGTGCTGCCAGCCTGGAAAGAGGCACAGCAGGACTTCAGGGACCAACTGGAATAACCAAAATGCATTTCTTTCATTAAGGATCATCCCTCATGTGGAAGATACCTGTGACAGTTGTATCAAATAGTGGCACCTCTACGCAGAGCATTAAAAGGAATTATACAGTTGTATCAAATAGTGGCACCTCTATGCAGAGCGTTAAAAGGAATTAAACCCAAGCTGGATCTAGTGCAGGACACAGGAGAATTAATGCTGGTGAGTTTTTCTTCTGTTTTGTTGGTGTGTGGCCTGAATTCAAAGCCAGCCTGGCCACGGAGAAGTCGTGTTTTGTTTTGAACTGGCACACCACTAACAAAAGCTAAAAATCACTTCAAGATCTGAGTTAGAGACCCTGACAAAACAAGGCTGAACTCAAAGAATTGCATCCCAAATGCTGACAACTCATACGTGTATGCCTGGGAGGGAAACTACTGATTCCCAGTGTTCATGAGGAAAATGGAGCAATCCTTTAAGGATGAAGGGTCAGTGAGCTGATTCCCAGTGTTCATGAGGAAAATGGGGCAATCCCTTAAGGATGAAGGGTCAGTGAGCCCCAGGACAGGACTGCAGAATGGAGCTGTGAGGGAGAGACCGAGAACAAGCTGCTTTTCTCCCTGAAGGATCTCTGCAGACATCCCAAGGCTGCTGGAGCAGTCTAACTCCAGCAGAAGATGGGAATCACCCTGCCTGCACTGCAACACACTCTTTGCAACAGTCCTTTTCCAGGATGTAGGATCTGGTAAATTCTACCTTCATTAAGAGACAACCTTATGAGAAAACATCCACATTTTGCTATGTGTAACCAAGACCTGCACAGTGTGTAAATCATGAGTTTGGGCCAGTTCCTTCCATCTACAAACCATAGCTCACCCAGAACCTGATCCACCTCTTCTCAGAGGAGTTCCTGCAGGATTTGCACAAATCCCAGGAGTTTCTGTTCCTAAGGATCTCGCTGGACACTTCTGTCTCACCTTCTTGCCTCCAGGCTCACACCCAGGCCAGCAGTGAGCCCAAGCAGCAGCAGAGCCAGTGCAAACTCTTTGCTGAGAGCTAAAGCACTCAGGCAAATGAGGCACTTCAAGCACATCAACTCTGCTTAACCACCTTTATTTCCCTGAGGAACACACCTCCCTCAAGTTGTGCTATCACACAAGCCCAGGAGGTGCATCAGGAAGCTTTGCTGGGAATGTTGCTGCTCATTACACCCCTTAGGTACCTGCAGTACACCAGGACCTAAGGCTAGAGCAGGGCCATGGCAGCCCCAAGGCACTGCCATAACACCCCAACTCCCTCCTTTTCTTTGGGCTCTGCTGTGCCCAGCAGAGCAGTTAAGAATCCCCAGAACTTCCAAGCAAACAGCTACAACTTAAAAAGCAAACAAAGGCTCTTTTGAGGGAAATGCTGTTTAGGTTAAAGTATCCAGAAAGCACTTTGGGTAAATGTTTCTAAGCTTCCTGTAACAGGTTTAAAAACTTGATTTGTGTTTCCTGAGTGGTCCAGGGAAGAGGTGAATCCTGACCTTAAAGCAATGAAAAGTTGTGGCCACAAAACAGCCCCAAATAGTCCCAGCCCTCACCTTCCTCCTGTTTTGTATGTTTCTAATCACCACAACCTTCTCAAGACTTTTTTTTTTTAACAGCATCCTGCCAGAGTTAATGCAAGAACCATCTCTTCACATTCACCACTTCATCAGTAGGAACTATGTGAGCTGTGCCATGAAAAAAAATACTTCAGAGAGCAAATGACCAGTTGGGGACACACCAGGTCTGCAGGTCTCCAGCCAAGGACAGTGTCATTACACCAAGCAAACCCATTGCCCTGGAAATTACCACTGTTTCTGGGGTTTGGGGAGAGAAAGAGGCCAAGACTGACTAGGTTGGCTGGTAACACTGCATAAATCCAAGGAGAAGATGCTGCTAATCTCCACTGACAGCACGAAGACAACTGAAGTTGTACTTTCCCCTTCTACTCTATCACTTATTTTTAGCAGCTCTTGAACAAGTGAACTGAGGGTGGAGAAAAGAATCACTGGTTTAGTCAGACCTGAAAACACTTGGTAGGTTCAGAGTTACAGAACTGAAAGACTGGAAAAACTAACCTGTATGTGAGGGAGCCCTGAGTGTGCCAATGTCAAGTGTTTCTGTGGTTTAGTCAGACCTGAAAACACTTGGTTCAGAGTTATAGAATTGAAAAAGACTGGAAAAACTAACCTGTATGTAAGGGATCCCTGAATGTGCCAATGTCAAGTGTTTCTGCAAAATTCAGATCATCCCGTGTTAGAGGTGAGAGGGAGGAAAACTCATCCCAGCCAGGTGACAGCAAGTGGGAATGAGAAAAGTGAACAACAGGATGTGCAAAGTCTCCTCACAGGCAGTGCCTCTCAGTCCCAGTGCTGGGAACAGCACCCACGACACAGACCTGGGATAACACTGACCCACACGCAGCTCTTGGGCAGTGGAGCTGCTTCCAGGGCTTAGCACTGTTGTTTGCTCCAGCCTGTCTGTTACTGAGATACCTCGGGGTGGACAGGAGAAACAAGCAGGGAGATGACTGCCAACCCCCTTCTCCCCCCAGAACTTCTAGAGCTGCCCCAAAACTGGCTGACGTGACACAGGAGGCAATTCTGGGTGGCTTTGGTCCAGGCTGACTCTCAAGGTTGGCTCCTGCCCCACACGCAGGTGAATTTTACTGCTGTCTGAGTGCTTTGCAAAGGTATATTCCTGAATCCCTGCCAGACACAGGCTATCCCTAAAAACAGCAGCTGGGAGCCTGGCTGAAACTCAGAGACCAAGTTGCACAGCGACTGCAAGTGACATGAGTAAGAGAAAGGAAGGAAATGAAGTTATTCCTCTGGTTTCTGCCCCAGCCAGGCGCAGGTTACACAAGCCCCACATTCCTCTCCTCCCAACTCCTCCGTTTCACCTGCAATCCTGCCCTGCCTCCCTCTGTCTCCGCTGCCCTCCTTTACTCACCGAATCCAGCTGGATTTACCGGTCTGGAGAAGTGTGGCTGCCCCATGGGATTCTGTTCTGAGCAGCTCTCCGGGAAGAAGCAGGAGGGGGAAGAGAAGAAAAACTCTACCCTGAGAGCACTTGAATCCTTTCAAATGATAAATCCACACTTGGGAGTGGGAAGGAGCCCAGCGAGGAGGTGTCTCCAAGCTCTCAGTCTGCAGCTCTGGTGTCTGATGGTCCAGCACAGGTCCTGCTCTCCTCGAACCCCATGGCAGAGCACTTGGTGCTCAGAAATAGGCGCCCGTGCCAGCTCCCTTCACTGAATGCCTGTCATTCCAGAGCAGAGCTGGCTAGGGCCGAAGCTCAGGAAGGGGAGGAGACAGCCAGCCACGCTCCAGCCACTTAGCTGCATAATCCAAATCATCAACACCCCTCGCTCCTTCCTCGAGTCGGGTTTAGTAAGGAAGGAGAAAAGCTGGGAGCGAGGAGAGAGGGAGAGTGGAGTGTTTTAATGTCCTGGTTTTAGCCAGGATGGGGTTAATTTTCTCAGTAGCTAGTGTAGTGCAGTGTTAGCCCCATCCTGGCTAAAACCAGGACATTTGCTCAGGGATCAGCTTGGAAAACCCATGCAGGACAGCACAGGGATGGAATCAAGGAGGGAACAGCCTACCTGAGGCTAAACTCAGCCCAACTGGATCGGGATGAAAGTCGATGCTCTAAGTGCTGTGGGAGCTGCACTACCCCAGAGCAAAGGGAATTTCAAGCAGTGCCCGAGCTGATCTGCATCTAGATAGATGTATAATAAAACTACAGTTTCATAGCCATTCCTCTCTCCACTGAAGTTACCAGGAAGCAGGGAGAGTGTCTTCTCCTCTACCTGAAATCTAGCAAAGGAAAATTCAAATTTAATGGGGAAAACAAGAGTTTAGTTTCTATTCGTGTGTCACAGCTAAGGTAACAAACATTCCCCTCGACATCTGCATCACAAAGATCTGCAGAGTTTAAATCTGTCCAAGTTTAAATCACTTGGGATTTTTTGATTTGTCATTACAATCTATGTTAGGACTTGTTGTGAACTTACAGCTCATTTCCCCTGTACACCACACCATGGAGGAGCAGAAAAACCTTTAAACATCCAGAAGCTTAATCTTAACTCAGGGGAAAAGGAAAAGGAGTTTTCAAAAACATAAAGGAATTTGCTGCAGCACACAAAAAAAAAAGGGATTCAAATCAGGAACTTGACCCCATGTGACACATCTAGGTTGGCTCTTTCCCACTGTAAGAAAAAGCAGTTTTAACCTGTATCAGCAGCATTTGCTGCCTTGATGTCCCTGTCCTTGTCGTGCCAGCAGCTGTGGCACTTCAGTATCACTGAACACTACGCAGGCAGCGATGCCAATAGGAAAATCTTCTATTCTGGGAAGCAGCAAGATCCAAGATTGTGGATTGGGGCTGGTGCAGCTGGGAACAATCGATGCTGCACATTGCCCAGAGCAGATGAACACAGAGGGGTCAGCATTCCCAGCCCCACAGCCTGGGGGGAGGCAGAGCTGCAGTCAGCACACCCCAGAGAAGGTAAAGGAGTAATTTTGAAGTCTAAGAACACTTTACCTGAGCCACAAACACCCCAGGAAGATGTTGGTGCTCCTGGTTTCCTCACTAACACACTACACGTGTCATCAGGCAACTTGGAAACCTATTTCTCTTCCAAAGCAGAGCCCTAAATACACAGGAGGAAGGAAGACACCTGTGCACCTTCTCCAACCTGCCTGTCCTCACGCCCTGGTGACCACCATGCCATGGACAGCAGGAAGAGGAGAAAGGGATCAGCATTCTTGTGGAGGTGGAGGAGCAAATAGCACTGTCCTCCCTCACACAGGGCACACGGACGTTCCTGGAAGTGTTGCTCCTCTCCACCTCCCACCCTGGACATCTCAGGAGCCTGTGGTTCTGCCAGTCAGCCACAGCCAGGCTTCCAAGCACTTCTGACTTTCACTATGGGCAATGAACATCCCAATTCCCAGGAATGCTCCACCTCATTGAAGGCTTTTTGCTTTGCAACGAAGAAAAAGCTATTTTAAAGCCATTTAAATTCGCTGCCATCTGGCAGAGACCCACAGAGGTCAGAGATAGAGGCAGGAAGATTTCTCCAAGTCTGTAAATCAGGGGTCCAGCTTGAAAGGAGGTCTGGGAAAACCATCCCTGCATCTGGGAATGCTACAGAACGCTGCATCCAGCCCTGCCTGGCTTCCAAGGAATTAAAGCCATTGCATTTTATAAGGCATTTGCTGTGAATTCAGAGTGCACAAAGCTCTGCTGCAGGACAGACAACACGTGCTAAGCTGTTAAGGCACAGCAGCACAATCATGTCCCTGACCCTGTATTTCCACATCAGTAAAACATGAAACGTTAGCTTAAATTTCAATAAAAGAGATTTAAACGAATGCATTTAAATTGACACTGGCTGCAGTCCAAGAGATGCACAGCAGTTACTCACTGGCACTGCACAGCTACTCACCAGGCTGTGAAATAAAGCCCTTCCACATTTCTGTATCCTTCCTCAGGCCTTAAGGACCAGCACAAAGAGAATAACAAGATTATTTGGCAAAGGATGTGCCAGAAACCTTAATATTTCCTCCTCAAACTCAGGGCTGTGGTGAGCAAAGAGATACAAATCTGCATTTCAAATTACATCTGGCTCTGGATTTAAACATCCTTTAGGAGTATCAGCCACAATTCCCTCCTCTTTGGGGGAGAAAGAACAAAACCCCACTAGAAAAGAGCTGACAAAGTGCACAAAACAGCAGAAATACACAAGTAACACCAACATCATTACTTTCAAGGTGAACTCCTGGCCAGAAAAACCTGCCAGTCCATCCTTAAGTCCCTTCACTGGAAGGAAAGGTGCAAATTCTGTCCCAGCAGATACAATGCCAAAAATGTTCCTATCCCAGCTCTAGCCTGAGGTCAGAGAGTGAGAGCAGCTCTACCTTTGTGCTCCTAAGTAACCCTTTGGTTCACTGCTGGGGAAAAACACAGGACAAAGCAACCTGCCCCCAGCCAACTGGACTTCCAGAAGAAAGGAAACCCACATTTCAAGCAAGGAGGAGTAATAAATATCCCAAATTCCCACAACAACGACCAAGGGCTATATGACTTAGCTGCACAGCAACCAGAAGAAACCAGAGCACATCTCTGACTCCTCAGGGACAGCTGAAGACCCTTCTAAGAGGAAAAGCTTGGAACAGCAAAGAGCTTCCTAAAGGAAAGCCAAAAAAAAAAGGGAAACAGCTGAGAGTCCCTTCAACATTTTCTTCTAAAACACAACAAGCAAGAAACCCCAGTTATGCGAGGATTTTATGGGATTTCAGGAGAGTCAGATGGCTAAAACAAAACCCTCGGAGAAGGGCAGTAAACGCCCAAACCTTGGGGCACATTGCCTCCCTCTCAGGTTTCATTTCCTCTCCATCCAGCCCAGCATCCCATTAAAGCCTGGCATTCCCAGGCTCATAATCTGTTTATATACATTGTAAAAGGAACTCTTCTGGATTGTTTCACTTGAAAAATCTAATGAAACCCATAATGAGCCCAAATACTGGCTGCTCTCACGCAGCCGGTGTTGTTCCCATCTCGGTTCACACCGACGTGAATCGCCACATTCACCCGTGGTGACTCAGACCTTTGTGTTCATGATTCAGCCACAGGAACATTAAAAGGACTCTGGCATTATCCCATCCCTGCACACTGGAGCAGGCTATTTAAAACCAGTGATACTGGGCGTTTTCCTTCAAAGCCCATCAAGGAACAATCAGCAGGAGCTACAGGATGGTGAAGGCTCTTTCCTTGCACCCACCTGAAACACTCCTGCAGGGATCGCCTCGCCAGGAGGGCTGGGAGGGAGGGGAAAAGTGGCACCACAGACTCTGGATGTGTTCTACAGAATCATGGAATGGTTGAGTTGGAAGGAACCTTAAAGATCACCCAGTTCCACCCCCTGCCATGGACAGGGATACCTTCCACTAGCCCAGGTTGCTTCAAGTCCCATCCAACCTGACCTGGAACACTTCCAGGGATGGAGCAGCCACAGCTTCTCTGGGCAACCTGTGCCAATTGTTCACCACCCTCCCAGGGAAGAATTTACCCCTAATATCCCATCTAACCCTCCCTCTGTCAGTGGGAAGCCATTCCCTGTGTCCTGTCACTCCATGTCCCTGTAAATAGTCTCTCCCCATCTTTCCTGCAGGTTCCCCTCAGGCACTGGAAGGCCACAACTAGGTCACCCCAAAGCTGAACAATCCCAATTCTCTCAGCCTCTCCTCATAGCAGAGCTGCTCCATCCCTCTAATCAACTTGGTTTCACCACAATTTCTATTGTTCAGCTTTGGCAGAACAAGAATACAAGAAAGAAAATATTCTATCTGTGTAACAGCTCTGACTGACTAGAGAAATCACAGTTTTTGGGCTGTGCTGAA